ATATTTTACTTATAAATGCTAAACCTTCAATTAATTTCATTAACCAAATAACTTAATTTCGCCGTGTATAGCCTGTCTATACAGATACAGCACATACAATTGGAAAAAAACAAAAATTAAAGTTAGAAATAAATTAAATAAAAGATTGGAATACTCACCCCTTCTACTTAACAGCCAGCATACAAAGCAAAACAGATGTCAAACTGGAGGAACAAGGTGATATAAGACAAGACATTAAAAACAAGCCATTTACTAGCTTTTTTTAACAGTAAAACTAAATGTAACCCAAGACACACTATGAATGGAAGAAAAGTGCAACACGCAATATATTTCTGCCTTCTACCTAAAAGGCCAATCATCATGTTACTGCAGCTGAAGCTAGAGGCTCCGGTTGCTATAGAAACGGTGTCGAAGACAATGCATGTACGATTTTGTTGCGGATTTGAAATATGTTATTTAAATTCGAGTGTGGCAAGCATTTTATGAGATTTTAACGTTCTGTAACATACCCTCCCCCACCCCAAATAAATCGGGCGCCACTCACTCCGACAGGATTTTCCCCATTTGTTGCAATTAAGACCACCGAGTGAATGATGTATCTTGAAAGGGAAAGTCTGGGGGGGGGGAAATATGCCTTGAAGGATTGTACACGATTTGCAAAAAATGTATGAACGTCATGGTATTAAACAGGGGTTCTGTTATCGCTAACCACATTAAACACTAGCACTAACTTTGCCTTTCCGTCGGGTTGCTCGATAAAATCAGCACAGAAAACCGTTTCCTCCGGGAAAATACGTTCAAATGGATTACTAACTGTTTCTCAATGGCATTTCAGTTCAGAGTTAATTCCCTTCACACTGTAGCGATCCACTGCGAAAGCGTGTTATCGCTAACCACATTAAACACTAGCACTAACTTTGCCTTTCCGTCGGGTTGCTCGATAAAATCAGCACAGAAAACCGTTTCCTCCGGGAAAATACGTTCAAATGGATTACTAACTGTTTCTCAATGGCATTTCAGTTCAGAGTTAATTCCCTTCACACTGTAGCGATCCACTGCGAAAGCGTCCAGCTTCCATCATCCAGAGCTAGACTGAAAATGGCGGACTGTGCAGCAGATAATTGGTTTTTCCTTCGCGCCGTGTTCCCAGGGGGCGGAACTTCCAGAGAAAACATGACTGATTTCTAACATTTCAACATGATCAATTCTAAAAGATTGAACATCCTTTAACATTAAATGAATGGCACAAGAATAAAATATGTTTGGATGAGAAACATAAATGAATCAAGTAGGAAATACAAAAGGCATTTTTGCAAATTCAACAATCCCCCCATTGCTATTTCTTCAGTGTACATGAATAGTTTAAAACCATTTGTTTTTAAACCACAATGCTTCAAACGCTTAAGCTTACATCATGACGCGCAAAACGATTGGCATTTTTCTACAGGGTTATTTCCAAACTCTTAAGCGAATATATAGAGTTTGTTCAAACACAAAAAGCCAAATACATCCATTAAGTTAATAATCAAACTAACCTAAAATCTGGAAGATGGCGCTGTTTTTATCTGCTCCATGTGCCCGGTCCACTTGCTGTTTCACAACTTCTACTCCATCATCATCTTTAGTAAAATAACCTGATAGCTGGGGATTTTACTGACTATGTTTTATCTGCTGTTTGTCTTTTACGTTTTTCCTTTTTTTTTTGAGCCCCTCTCTCTCATTTTTTTTAGAATAGCTGACATTTTTACTTATCGAAGATGGTTCTTTGCGCGACCATTTCCAGACTATGCCAGAACGAAGTGAAGAGTGGAGGTGAATGCGGACATCAGGCGCAGCGACCACCTGATCGACAGTTTGTTCAAAAGTCAAATACAGAATAAATGCATTTGATTGATAAACCAAATTCAAACGTGACGTTTCAATATCTAATGGTAATACATGGAATTTACGGCAAAGCTCCGCTAAATAATAGCGCTAATAAGTGGGGGCGTGGTGGGGCTTTGGCGTTTGGTGCTTCAGTCAATCTACTCCACAGTCAATCACGGGCCCCCTCGTTGCTCGGGCCCTGGGGC